GCTTCTGGCCGGCCTATGGCTCGCCAGAAGCATGGGGGCAATTCAGATCAGCATCTACAGCGACTCGCAGCTAATAGTGAACCAGGTGATTGCCGATTTCGCAACAAAGGACGCGTCAATGACGGCGTATCTCACGGCAGCGCACCAGCTGTTAAACAAATTCCAAGCCTATGAAATTCGGTAGATACCAAGAAACGAGAACAGTCATGCCGACGCCCTCGCCAGACTGGCTTCGGCAATCAACGACAAGGTAGGTCGAAGGGTCCCCGTTGAGATACTGGCCCTTCCGAGCACCGCCATCGCCGAGATCTGCGCTGTAGAGTACAACGACACATGGATGTCGCCTATTCATGCTTACCTAACGAACGACACCCTCCCTGCGGAGAAGGCCAAGGCCAGACAGCTGCGCTACCGATCGACGAGGTACATTGTCATCAACAACATTCTGTACAAACGTGGCTACTCGACCCCCTACATGAAATGCATCACTGAAGAGCAGGGCGAATATGTCCTTTGGGAGATCCACAGTGGTGTCTGCGGTGATCACTCCTGTTCTAAATCCCTGGCCCACAAAGCCTTTCGGCAGGGCTACTATTGGCCATCCATGCACAGGGATGCAATCGCGATGGTAAAGAAGTGCGACAAATGCCAGAGGTTCGGTAACATCCCGCACCTACCTGCCGAACCCCTCACGCCTATCGTAAGCCCATGGCCATTCGCCCAATAGGGACTCGACCTAATTGGGCCAATGCCGCAAGGCAAAGGACAGGTCAAATACGCGATCGTTGCCGTGGACTACTTCACGAAATGGGTTGAGGCCAAAGCCTTAGCCACCATAACGGCAGCAAGAGTCGAAGAATTTATCTGGACCAACATCTGTTGCCGCTTCGGCATTCCCTACGCCATCATCACTGATAACGGCAGACAGTTCGATTCGGAACTCTTCAGGCAGTTCTGCACTCGCCTCAAAGTCAACCTGTTTTTCGCCTCGCCAGCTCACCCTCAATCGAACGGCCAGGTTGAGGCCGTAAACAAAATCATCAAGAAGCTCTTGAAACGGCAACTCAACCATGCCAAGGGCGCTTGGCCAGAGAAGCTTTCCGAAGCTCTGTGGGCCATACGAACATCCTACCGGACCTCCACGGGGGAAACTCCCTTCAGCCTTGCGTTCGGCTCAGAGGCCGTTGTCCCAGTTGAGATCGGTGAGTCTTCTTACCGAACGGAAAGCTTCAAGCCGAAGGCAAATGAGGCGGCACTCACATTAAGCCTGGATTTGGTCGAGGAGCGCCGAGCGGTAGCCAACCTTCGGAATGAAGCATACAAACAGCGCGTCTCTCGGTACTACGATTCAAGGGTCAAACCGCGCTCTTTCAGAATCGGGGACTGGGTTATGCGCAAGGTCTCGCTTGCAACCAAAAACCCAACGGAAGGAACCCTCGGACCTTCCTGGGAAGGACCCTATGAAATCATCGGCATCCTACGTTCCGGTACTTACAGACTCAGAGGCACAGATGGGAAGACCCTCGGTCACCCATGGAATGTGGACCATCTCAAGAGTTATTTTAAATAAAGCCCCCTAGCCAACGGCAGGGAGGAATTTGTATTTTTTCCTACGACACTTATATATAAAATGAGATTATTCAGTTATGTTTGAAACATCATAGCCTAAACGGCACCCTTTTCAAAAAAAATGTTTCGGTAAGGGCTCATTAGTCACGAGCCACAGCAACATTGCCTACGGCAATCAAAAGCTACACTCTTTACTATAACTACCGATTCAGAGATGCCTTGTCCATTTTTTACATTTTTGGCAACAAGCATTGGGTACGAGCCAACGGCAGTACCACGCTCTGGAATTACCTACGGTATTCTCATCAAGCAGACTACAAAGCTATACGGTATCCTAGACATGCCCACGGCATCTCCATAGACGAAAGGCTATTGGGACCTTGTTCCTACCGATGCGCGTAATACTTGGGTTCTGGCAAATAGTTATGAGCCAACGGCAGTATTGCTACTTTGGTTTGTATACCGAAGGTAAGGGCACTTTGGCTAAATCCAAAGCAAACAAATTCCTAAGTGGCCAACGGCCCAAATCGGTAATTATCCTAAAAACGGTTATTAGCCTACGGCAGTAACAAACATGGATAAAATTCAAGTAAAACAAACAAAAGGTAACTTGAATTAAAAAGATGCCCTCGGCACCAATATGTTCATACATTTTGCCAACGGCAATTAAAATACATAAAAAAATTATTACAAAAAACGCAGCTCAAGCGTCGGCAGCACGACCTCCCTGGTCTTCGGTATCCTCAACCACGGCATCGATGTTGGCGTCAGGGGCATCCTCGGCATCAGGACCCTCGGCATCTTCAGGGGCATCTTCCCCCTCATATTCCTCGATCATCTCTTCTGTGATGCCTTCCGGCAGGGGAGGAGGATCGGCAGCGAAGTTCAGGTTCAGCTTCTGGCCCGGATTAAACCGCTTGAAACGGTAGATGAGGTCCGCCATCTCCGAAGCCACTTCATTATCCACCAAGGAGGTGAACTCAGAGGAGGAACGGTATCCCCCGATGGCTTCGTTAACGGCAGCCTCTATCTCTGCTGCCTTCGACCTCTCGGACACCTCCAGTGCCGTCTGCGCCGCCGCCTTCGCTCCTTCGGCATCCCTGGCCGCCTGCTCGGCGCCATCCAGAGCCTCGCGCATCTCGGCAAGCTTCGCCTCGTGCGCTTGGATCTGCCGTTCGGCAGCGTGCATGTCCTGCACGAGGTTGGCGTGGTCCTGGAGGGCCTTGGCTGCGTCGGCAACCTTGGAACGGCCATCCTCGTATAGCCGTTTGGCGCGCTCGGCAGCGTTGATCGCCCTCCTCATGCACAGCCACATGTCCATCGATGCCTGAAAGGTGAAGCCACAAGTTAGTACCGAACGAAACATAACAACAACAAAAACACAATGGGAATCAGAAGGTTACCATGGCCTGGAGACGGAAGGCACGCCCCGCCTCTTCCCGAAGAGCCCTCTTCGGCAGCTCGTCGATTTCAGACAGGTCCATCTGCGAACCCAGGATCATGTGGTTCGCAAACTGAACTGTCTTGGATGGACAGGC